CCTGCAGAGTATGTTATTTTCCTTTCCTTCAGGTAACTCTTAAGTACTTCATATAAGTTACTCGGGCATTCAGATTTCCTTAGAGTGCTTAGAATCAGGGGCCACCATGCATGGTCAAAGGCCCCCTGAATATCCAAACTTATTGCACAACAGTATTTATATTGATTTAATGTGTCATTAATTACCTCTAAAACTTTCTTAATAATATCATCAGTAGATCTATTAGGAAGAAATCCATACTGTTTCTGGCTTAGAAATCCTTTTTCTTCCAGATGATGTAGCAACCTTTGGCTAATTAGATAATCCAAAACCTTCCCAAGAGTGGGAAGGAGACTTAGCGGTCTATAGCTTTTCACTGTACTCTTGTCCTTATTTTCATTTTTAGGGATAATGACCAGTTTTGCCTCTTTCCAGATCTTTGGAAAAACCCCGTATTTTAGGCAGGTGTTGTATATTTCTCTTATGTATGCAGGATTCAGATTCCATATTTTATGCACTATCTCTGCCACTAGGCCATCCATCCCTGGAGCCTTTCCTGGTCGTAGCCTGTGGATTGCCGCATCCACTTCCTGTTCTGTGAAGAATGGATCTATTGGACCATTATACTGCAGTTCTATTTCCTTCCTTATCTCTTTCTGTTTAGGGGAGTCCAACTCCGGATCATCCATTGGGAAGAAGGCATTCATTAATGCTCTAACTGTGTTATCAATACCCTCAGTATACCCCTCTTCACTATCATTAATCGCAGTAAGATATTGAGGCTTTTTTAGCTTTCCTGCACAAGCTTTGTACAGGTAGCTCCAAGGTTTTGTTGAGCTCTGAGAACAGAACTCCTTCCAGGATTTTAATTTATTATCTTTTATTTTGATTTTATACTCCTTACAATGTGCAAGGTAATCATTCTTTTTCTGCCTTCTTTCTTCATCTATTTTGGCTCTTTGATAACGTCGGCGTAGCCGATTATTTTCTTTTCTTAGTTCGCCTAATTCTCTTGTCCACCAAGGTATATTTTTTTTCCTTTCCTTTTCCTTGGAATAGTTTCATTACATATCCTTATTATAGTCTCATGAATGTCAATAATAAACTTTTCTGCTTCCTCACTGTCTTTGATGTTGTTAAAGTCTCGTAAATCCAAAGCCTCTGTGAATTTGCTATTAAAAAGAGACCAGTTCGCCCGATTTATTGCATATTGTGTTGTTATTGTTCCTGTAGTTTGTTCCTCTTGTCCCAGCTGGTAAAAGATGTAACTATGATCGCTGAGGCTACTTATTGGAGCAACTTTCCAGTCTTGTATGATATTCAGCATCTTTCCGTTACTAATTGTTATGTCGATCCAACTACGCCCTATCGGGGCATCGAACGTGGGCAGTGACTCTGGGTCGTTTACTATGTGTAGTTCATTCGAATTAACAAATTCTAACAGTTCATCAGCTCTCTTATCATTCCTAGGGTCACCCCACAGCTCCGAGTGGGCGTTCAAATCTCCTGCTATGATAATATACTTATTTTTAAAAGTATTAACCAATTCATCAAGTTTTTTGAGTAACGGGCTAAGTGCATCCGTAATTGGGCAGTAGACACTCACCAACACTATGTTTTTATTATCAGTATTAATTTCGGCACAAGTCATGAATTTGTTGCTCCAATTAGCGTAGAATAGCACTGGTAAGTATTGATTGTTTACTATAATCATTGTTCTTGGGTTTTCTCCAGATGAGTGTAAGGTTCTGTACGACCCCCGGAGGCAGCTCGGAGTTCCTCTTCTACAGTAGGGTTCCTGCACCAGCGCTATATCCCTGTCTTCCATAGTTTTACATAGTACTGAGGTGGCCCCTATTGATTTTTCAGCGTTTATCTGTACCTTATGAATATTGTATAAAAAATTTCGTACAAACAAAAAGTACATTAATATTGTAACGGATACTTGGTACTGTACTGTACGTGTGCTTGGTCGAGTGGCCAGTGGCGCAAAGCTATTGTTCGTGGAATTATGACTAAACACCCCTAAGGTAGAAGCCCCCTAGCCACGAAAACGGTAGTAGTTGCGAGAGTAATCTTGCGCGGTACAAGAGGAACCACAGGGTCAGACACTCTGTGGTTTGGTCACTTGCTGCTAGGACGTCGGCGAGTGCGAGAAGCAAGAAGAAAAACGAACGTATACCCCAGAATAGATTTGAACCTTGGGGTACGGACTCAACACTTTTAACTTGTGCCTGGCTAACATTCCCGTTAGCCGTAACAAATACGTTTTGCAAATTTTCAGTAATATACGAATCACGAAAAAAACTATATGTAATTAGAGTACTATTTACAGATGTATTTCGTTTATAGAAAAACAGATGTTATGTTAACTTTCGAATATTCAGTCTGGTCTAGGACTTTGATAATAAAGGTTTTCATGTAATCAAAAACATGATTGAAGCCTATGCAGCTTATTTTTGAAGTATGAATTGTTAATGCATTCAGGACATCAGTTTCTCGTGCTCAAAA